TGTGTGTGTGTATGTGTGTGTGTATATATATATATATATATATATATATGCGATCGCTGTTCGTCTTTATGACAGTGCAAATAAGGAACATGTCCACCCGCTACAACATGGCTGCGATTCAGAATTAAAGCATTTCAAAAAAAGAGTGTAGCATTGTAGTATATAAACTGGAATGCAGAGATGAGGGTATCCAGTGTTACACCTTGGCGCCGGTTCTGAGGACATCAGAGCAGAGCAGCCCTGAAGGAGCCTTTCCTCCATGATCCTGCAGGCTTTCGTCTGACCCACTGAGTCTGTGTCCAACCAGTTGAGCTTATAAAACCTTAAACAAGTTAGTTACTCCAACCAGGCCTGGCTGGGCATCATTAACTGGGTTACCTGCTAGTGCAGACTGGTAATCAGTTTTCAGGGAAATTTAACATGAGGTGCCAGTTGCTCACATACATTTTTTTTGAGAGTCTTACAATTATTACAGTGGATAATATTTTCGGGTATATATGCTGGGCGGCATGGTGGTACAGTGAATAGCGGTGCTGCCACAGAGCCAGAATGTCCTGGGTTTGGTCCCCGGGTTGAGCATAGGTCCTTTCTGTATGAAGTTCACATGCTCTCCTTGTGTTTGTGTGGGTTTGTACCAGGGGCTCCGGTTTCCTCCCACAGTCCAAAAGTGTGTGCAGTAGGTTGATTGGTGACTCTAAGTTGGCCCCGAGTGTGCGTGCGTGCGTGTGTGTGTGCGTGCGTGCGTGCGTGCCCTGTGGTGTGTTGGCAACTGTCCAGGGTTGGTTCCTGCCTGCACCCCTTGATCCCAGGATAGGCTCCCCCTGTGACCCCAGTTGCGATTAAGCAGTTATGGTGATGGATGGATGTACTGTACATGGTAATTAAAAGGGAATGACTCTGTGTTTGTTACATGGGAAATTAACTGTATCAGATAAAAGCAGAGACACTAATGTGAGCAGAATAATTTTCAGTGTTTTTTTGTCTTTTTTCCTCATTTCTTTACTTGTAGAGAAAAAAATGGCCAGGAACCGAACTCCAGGAAGCACAGAACTGCGAGTAAGTTCATATTTACTATGGGAAGAAAGGGTCTTGACTTTTTTAAGAAGACAAAGGCAGAATCCAAACTCTGTTAACAGCCAATTTGTTTTTAAGAAGTTTGTTACTTTATAAAAAGATAATGTAAAACTGATTGAGGAGTGATTGTTATGAAAGCTGACATATGACTTGTATCAAAATGTACGAGTGTAATATTATCAGTATGTGAAGCAACCATATTTTATGTAGTACATTTTCACCATCCATTTGTTATATTGCAGTTAAAATGTTTTCTGCATGGAATCAAAAAATTGGATAATAAAAATGGATCTCAAATTGGATAATATCTTTAAAAGTACAAAGATTAACGGATATACATTAACTGATTATCACCAAATTCAGCAACAATGACGTTCCATTGCTGTCAAAGGATGGATAGATAGTTCTGTATAGATACATGGTCATAATGTGATCCTCTCTCAGGCCTCTGTGGAGCCTGGTGCTGATGTCACCTACAGCTCCATTGTCCTGTCAGACCCAGAGGTAAGATGGTTTCATGTAAATCAGTGTTTGGTTCAGGCACCAGTATCACAATGAGAGTGACACGTATATCAATAATGTACCAAGAAGTACCATGATACCCTGATATTTCACAGTGATTCACATGGGAGGTTTGGGAGTTTATGGATTTGTGGTTTCTTTCCAAAGGTTGGTCTTGTACCTCCACTGTAAACAGCTAAATGCTCTCAGCAGGTGTCCTCTAGATGTTCTTCACAGCGTCCTGCTGTAACCCCAGCCAGCGATGTGGTCTACAGCTCAGTCGCCCTGAAGCACAGAGAGGTGAGTTTGGACAATCTGCTCTAACATGAGCTGTGACACATTTAGTGTCTGATGCTGCAAACATGTCATATGTTTCATTTCACAACATATACAGCCACGGTTCCAACATCATACACACAGCTCATTTGACTTAAAATTTTAAGATTCATCTATCAGTCTGGTTCATTTCCTGTTCCTGTAGCAGTAACATTAACACACGAAACTCCCTGAAATGCTAAGGAAGGTGTTAGTGCCTCAGACACCAAACTGATGTTAATACTTTTCTGTTCCTTTTCCAGTAGGGGGCAGCAACACAGAGAGGTTCCTTTACATGTGGGGAGCTGCTGCTCAGGATGAGAGCTGTGAGGGACACGCAGATACTGCAGTGATGGGGAGGGATCATCACCAGAGAGGAGCATCTTACAGTGATGTCAGCTGTGTTTAAATGGAATGCAGCACTGTCACATTACAGTGTGACAGTAAGAATCAGCCAGTGAGAAACAGACATTCATGGCTGTTGTGCATCTGAACCATGATCAAGGTGCTATTTGAAAAAAGCATCTGCTAAATAAGATAAATGTAAATGTGAGGTATTATACTGGTGGTCTGTTGCTTCCTCATTTGTAATAATGGAAAACTCTCATTAGCAATTCTAGTTGAGCTGTATGTATGAAATGTTTGATATGAAATGTTTGATACCATAATGTTCAGTATTTTGAGAAAATATTAGCCGATGTCTGCCTTTCTCTTGTGTATACAGTGTATGTCCTGGTGAGGGGTTTACTGAGGTCTATGGGCTCTGACTTTAATTTTATGCTCTTCTTACGCACTTCACTGCCCCCTGCTGGAGCAGTTTCACTGTTTTTCTGCCTCCCTGCTCTCCTCTGACTGTGGAATTAAAAGCTGCACTGTTGCTGTTATATTATGTCTGAGAACAAAAGCTTTACTTTTAGGTTTCTACAGAATGTTAGGCTTTTGTTTACTGATAAATGGAGTATTACTGAAAATGCAGAACACAGCCTGTGACTCGTCATACACACTGTTAATAAAAATGTTTTTCATTCCTCCTGCATGCTGCAGTGGTGTCTCAGTGTGTAACATGGACGCCTCATACTGTCAGGGGTTTGTGTTTGAATCCTGTCCCTGGCTCTCAGTGTGTAACATGGACGCCTCATACTGTCAGGGGATTGGGTTTGAATCCTGCCCCTGGCTCTCAGTGTGTGACATGGACGCCTCACACTGTCAGGGGTTTGGGTTTGAATCCTGCCCCTGGCTCTCAGTGTGTGACATGGACGCCTCATACTGTCAGGGGTTTGGGTTTGAATCCTGCCCCTGGCTCTCAGTGTGTGACATGGACGCCTCATACTGTCAGGGGTTTGGGTTTGAATCCTGCCCCTGGCTCTCAGTGTGTGACATGGACTCCTCATACTGT